GAACTGTTTACATTTTTCAGCGTTCCAGGCGCCACAATTATTTGCTTTTGTCCTTGTGTCACTTGCCGCACTTGGCCAAAAGGCAGGGAAGAGAGACTAAGGGCAATGTAGTGTCTATATGAATCTCAGTCTATTTTATTACAGCAGTTGTGATTTATTATATTTTTATTATAGTAAACATAAATTTGATCAGCATCGTCCACACCTTGACATTACAAAATGTCATTATTAGAACATTTTTATTCTTTGTAGGGAATACACAGAATATATATATATATACATATATATATATATATATATATTTCTTTCTATATATATTCTGTGTATCTTTCTGAAGTACTGAAGAACTATAAATCTGTTATAATTAAATAAATATAATTCACTGCTCAGAGGATTGTGCCAGACTAATTAGCATATCTGATATGGATTATTATGCATGCATATGTAATTACATTTTGATGGCTAAAGAAGAACTGTTTCTTTTCCGTCTGCTGTCTATGTCAACAATGGCAAAGATGTGTGTTTTTGACAGGACACCGGCGTCTCCGTCGCCGAACATGATGGGATGTGTGCTGTTTTAAAGGCAGCCCACTTTGCATAAAGTTAAGATGTACCTTTGTACCTTTCATGCAGGCTTCTGGGAATAAAAAACAAATTCTCACCCAAGATTAGAAAATGACAAAAGACAGACCTTTCAAAAAGACAAAAAAAAAAAAAAAAAAAATCAAGATATAAGATTCCTGCTTAAAGGACTCCTTTTTTATTTTATCTATTGCTAATCTGATTAGTTTTGCGTTTATATGCAGAGCTCAGGCTCCACATGCTACAAGAACGATGCAGCTGGAGTGTTTGTTCTCTAAAGAAACAGCTGTCGGAATTCTTTATTCCTGACCTACAGCATTATTCACTTCTGCACGTAAACATTTTTTTTTTTGCAAAGCATCCTAACTGAAATTCAAAATCTCTTGTGGTGGGTAGTCCCAAATGTTTTGTCTTTTATCTCACATGGGATGACGGCAGTCATTAATTTAGGTAACTTTTGTCATTCCTCTTGTGTCCTTTGTCATGTGCTTTGTTCTTATTGTTTATACACTTCATACATTTATCTGTAACAAATATATATTTTAAAGTAAAATCTTTGCTTCTAGTTTGAACATTTAAATTATTTTTCTCCCAAGATTCCTGGCAACTCTCTCTCCTTTTGAAGATATTTTTCACTCCAATATAGTAAGATTTTATTTGAGCTTATTTAGAAGAAAATATATATTATATTATTATAAAATGTGCAAAAACAACATTTTTACAGCACTTTATATAAAACTGTAATTAACTACTCGGGCATGTATTCAAAATATTTTCTTTTTTTTCATTTTTTTTTGGGGGGGGTAATGTTTGCTGTAGATCGAATTTCCTTTGACATGATATAGTTGTTGCTACAGTGTAAATAAATAAAGTAATAAGTAATAAGTAATAAGTGTAAATAAAGTCGCTGTTTGGTGAGGCCATACCATAGAGCCGTAAACACATCTTTATATGCTGTCTGTGAGCCTAAAATAATTAGGTTTGATTTCGGGATTTCCTCCTTCATACACAGTAGGCGTTCTGTGGTTAGCCCGGGTCCCAGTGGTTGAGTATTGTTTGGGTTCACTCTTTATCTAATGGGTTTTGTGGTCTGGGTCAATCACAGCCTCTGTCTGGTCCGTAATTACTCCAGAGAACTGTGGCTCTTACCAGCACAATAATAACAGCCAGAGCACATCAGCCATGACTTTCCACTCAGTGCTCCAGATTATGAGGACAGGCGAATAAAAAAAAAAAAGAGTAAAAAAAAAGTTCCCTATTGTGATTAAAATAACTTTGGAACCAATCAAGGATCTTGATATCATCACACCGCGGCTTGATAGCGTCTTTTTTTTTTTTTTTTTAAGATTGGTTTGTGCTCGTTCCATCGATTGGCGCATGTTGCACAAGAAAATAGCTTCTAGAAACTTTTACTGATAATACAAAGATAGTGGGGAAACTGTAATTTTTATAAAGAAAAAAAAAAACTCTCACTACTTCACTGATTCCATGTATTTGTTATATTTATTAAGAGCTTGGGACTGTGTAAATAGAAAAAGTATTGTGTCGGGGAAAAACGTGATATTTTCATTCCTGTGCTGGTGTTTGTCTTTGATTTTGCCCACCTTCTGCAGCCCACCTATAGAGACCCTGTCAAGGCAGGGAGAGAAAGCGAAGGGAGCTTGGTAAACACTTTCAGAGTCTGCTGCTGGTGTGTATTTAGTTTAGAGGGCATGCCAAGAGGCTGTTTTTCCATGGGTCGGGCGTCTGTAAACAAGCGGTACAGTGGCAGCCCACTCTTCCACAATCGGAGGTGGCACACTCAGAAGTGTGCATGAAAAGTGTGTGTGTCTGAGTATTTGTCTTTTTGGACATGGCATTTCCTCTTATTGTAGCCCATCTGGAGATGGGGAAAGAATAAGAAAGAGTTTGTATGTGTGCGTGTGTGTGTGTGTGAGAGAGAGAGACATTGTGAAAAAGAGAGAGACACAGAGGCAACCCCAAATCCGATGGGCCGCCGATGGGTGATGAATTATTCCCTGTCTGAGTCTCAGCATTGGTGTTATCACAGAGGCTGCCACTGCACTGGGATGACAGCAGTGACAGCCCCCAGAAAAGATTTAGCGCTGACAAGTGATACTTCCTTATAATACATCTCCCTGGCCCTCTCCCCTGTCCCCCTGTTCCACAGCCTCTGCATGCACACACAATGAGGCTTTTTTATCCTTCCACTTGTATTTATTTAAGTGGGCAAGGTGAGACAGTGTGTGTTTTTTTGCCACCACTTCTGTGGCACAAGTGCACCAGGTACAGTAGATCACCTCACAAGAAGGCTGGGGCACAAACCTGGATGTGCTTGTTGTCAGTACTTCTGTTCCCTCACACACACACACACACACACACAAGCAAGCTGCACGAGTATGACTCACTTTGTCACCTAGTTCCATTAGGGGGCTCTCGTGCTTAAGAAATGCCTGTTGTGTTTTTGCATCAACAACAGCTCTAACCATATTTTCCCCACTTGTTTTTCTTCTTTTTGCTCCTTTCTCTTTCTCCC